GAGGATGATGATCTAGCATTAAAAGCTGCGTTGGACGCCATTGGTGCTCGACCTCTGTTTTCCGAAGAGGACTATCCACTGCTCAGTGAAGCAGCTCGGAGGCAAAAGGGCGAGCTTGCTATAGCGCTGTTGACAAGGTTTGTTATCAGGATTAATGTATTCCATGTTTTGGATATTTCAGCAAATCAGGTTTTGTGGGAACTTGGCTCATTCTTGTTGTTTGAAGTTATTACGCCATTAGGATACTAGTATTTGTATTTGCAATTTTCAAAATTTGTTTGTTTAGGCACCGAGATTCCACTGAAAAATTAGGTCTGATCTTGGACAAACTGCTTGATCCCTCTATCCATAGGATGTACACGTAAGTTCATCTTTTGTTTCTTTTTTATTTTCAAGTGGTCCATCGTCATGATTTGACTGGGTTGACTTGGCAGTAATTAATATTTACTATTTTTGTTTCCAGATGGCATCAATCCAACGCCGCATACTTTCTTGATCGAGATCCCGTTTACCTGAAGTATGGACAACGTGGTCAGCGACCTGTATTCCCGATACCTGCGCAAGTACCTAAGATTCAAAGGTTTGCTTGTTTCCATATACCATGCATGCATTTGGCCCATAATTTCGCTTGTCACGCACTTGATTCCTTTTCCGATTTAGGTCACTGTCAATGCAGTCTACGGACTCAAAAAGCGGTGCTATCGACGAAGAAGTCGAGTTTCTCTCGGAACAACTACAGTCTGTTGAAACAAGGTTAGTGTGTCTGCACAAAAGCAGGAAGTAGATGTTATTCTTTTTACAGTTCGAGACGTTCCTCTGATGAAGGCAATGATAGCATAAGGAGCACTCCAACTACTGCATCCATTGTTACGGAATCCAGCGAACCGTTGCCAAGGCCAGTGCCGAAGAAAGTCAAGTGAGCATTATTCCAGTATATTTTGGCCTCGATAACGCCTGATACTTCTTCTTCTATCTTCGATGTTCTAGGCGACGTTGCTTGCCCATCATCTGCACCACAGAAGCACATGCTCATTATATGCATGAACTTGCAAAGCGTGTGCTTACAGAAGCAGGTGGTAACCAGAGTTCTGTGGTATTCGCACCAATAGGGCAGAATCCGCTAGGTATGGTGGAGTTTTTTCTTTTGCGCAGTAACTAGACTGAAGTTTTCAGCTTCGAACAGAAAGTTGCACATGTGTGCTTTCCTTATTGGAATGTATGCTATTGGTCTTCATAATCAAGTGTGCTCCAGTTGGAAATCAAGGACATATAGCACTCACGTTTCATGGATCAATCTTCAAGCTGCTGAACTAGGCAAGTCTTCAGTTTGAGTTCTTTCCTTTCTTGTTCTGCCATTTTTGTTAAAGATCATGTCGAGGTAAATACAGGCGCATGGGTTTTTTGCCTATAGATTGATGAGGGGGTCCTAACTAACACACTTCCCGAGGGGCAGCGCAAATAGTTCATTCACGGCTGAGAAATCTGTCCCCGAAAACCCCACGCCTGCGCCGTGACCGTAACCCGCAAACGACTTCGCTCACTTTAACAGTAAGTTCGCGCTGCCCATGCTATGTGTACGGTCACGGCGCAGCCGCAGTGTTTGGGGACGGATTTCTCAGCCGTGAATGAATAATTTGC